CATACTATCATCCATGAAGGGCAAACGAACATCATGTACTCCCAGATGTAATATCCTGGGGACAGAGTATCATTCATGTAATTCCTCTGGCCAGGGATGCATAAATCTGAATCTAATCAGAGGAAACATTAGACAAATCAAAAGTGAGAAATGTTCTATTAAAAGAAGATTGTGTTCTGGGCCCTCCCTGGTGGCGCAGCGGGTTAAAGCACAGCACTGAGAATCTAAAAGCCGCCTCCGCATGAGTTCGATTCCCGCCTGCCCCGGAGGAGACCACATGGCGTGGCAGACCTCTCCTGACCCGCCCGCTGCTCCCCTCAGCAGTGTACTTCGTCGATCTGCCTGTTCTGTTCCCCACTCTGTCTCTGGTGAAGCCTCTCAATGCCCCTGAGCCTCTAGCCTGTACCCTAGTTCTGTATGCATAAATAAATAAATCTTTAAAAAAAAAGAAGATTGTGTTCTTCAAAAAAATGTCAACTTCACAAAGGGCAAGCAGGACATGGAAATATTCCAAAGTAAATAATAGAGAGACATGACAACTAAATTGTAATGTCTGATCCTGTACTAGACAGTGTAAAAAAAACTGCTATAAAGATTGTTGGGACAAATGACGAAATCAGAATAAATAACTGGCCAATTTTAAATTTATTAAATTGGTAATTGTTCTGTAACTACAGGAGAAAATATCCAATTCTTAGGAAATAAATAGGGTAAAGGAGCACAATAAATACAACTTTCTCTCAAATAATTTAGGAAATTAACAGGTATCTGTGGGTGTACAGAAGAGAAGAAAGGGAAAAGAAAAGGGTATTTCTTGCAGCCAGGGCTTTAACTCTTTCAAAATGTTAATGGCCCAACTTTTAATCTAACTACCTTAGTTACACATCAAGTCAAAAAGGACTACAAGCCAGTATGGCAACTGGCAGAAAACTTGGAATATGGTAATAAGCATCAGTCTGAAACTTTTACTATCCTTGACAAATCGTCAAGTTGGGGCTTCTTTTTCTGCATCATGTTCACTCCCTAATGACTGTTACTCAGTCCATTATGCAATACATAGTAATTTGATCTTTGGGGAAATTTCCACTGATTTGAAGATACCCACCCTGCTAGGAAAGATGCCAGTGAATGACTTCATACAAAATTGGTTAACTCCCTTAAGTAAAATTGAACACTAATTTAGCAGTGTTAAAAACATAGACTTAGATTCAATGTTGGTCCCATTGCCTTCTAAAAATGTTACCCTGAGCGAGACTGTTACCCTGTCTGTCTCATCATGTGGAAAAATGGGAATGTTGGTAAAGTTAAAATTCTAACTACTGACATGTAACACGTGCTCAAAAATGTTCACAGTGAACAAAATACTTACATAAGTAGGTAGGCATTTGTTCTAATTATTAAGACAGGTAGTTTCTGAAAATTACAATGTGGTAGTAGAAAGAGAAATGACTATATACTTGAGTAGTGCATGAAACACAACTGGTAAAATCAGAATGCTGACTGAATTATAGTAATAAATTATCTCAGGCATAAGCGTACATTTTTTTTGCTAAATATTTTAAAGAAAATTTTGAACTTATAAATAGCCTAATGGATATGTGAGATTTTAGTTAATAACAACTAAGATAGAAGGCAGAGACAAGACTGACCATTAACTTATAAAAGCTGCTGTATGACAGGTACATGGCAACTATAATATATATATATTACATAAATATAATTTCTCTCTGCTTTGTATATTTAAAATTTCCATAATAAAATGTTTGTTGAGGGGGTCTCCCTGGTTAAAAGCGCAGCACTGTGAGGCTGTCTGTAGCCACTACAACATGGGTTCCGTCCCCAGCCAGGGAGGTGACGCACATGGCATGACAAGCCTCTCCTGTCTCACCTGCTGCTCCTCTCATTGCATTTCAGTCAATATGCCTGTTCCGCTCCCCACTCTGTCTCTGGTGAATCCTATCACCCCCATATCTCTGGCCTACAGGCCTTATGTTTAAAAAAAAAAAAAAAAAGACAGTTTCTTAAAAATGAAGAAATTAAAATGAAAAGAAGGGTTGGCAACATTTATACATTAGCAGGGCAACAAGAAAATTAACTGAAAGTTTAATAAAATTAAGACTGGAGATAGGTGGGAGAAAAGTTTTTAAAAATGTTATAACTATAAATTTATATTGGTTTTTAAGGGAGTCAAAAAACTTGAGCAATAATCCAAAATATAAGTACCCCAATGTAACCACTAAGAAAATATCAAAACATGTACTCTAAAATTCTCTTGTGGTCCCTGAACTTTCTTCTTTTCAAATCAGAAGCCTTATTATTCCTGACCTATAATTTGTAATAACTCACCTTTTCCTTACCCTTTCTTATATCTTCCATACACCCATTTTCCTCCCATTTTCAGTTTCAATCACAACTTTCAGGCTACAGTGAATAAAATCGAAGCAATGAAAGAATAAGTAAAGTTGGATACAAAAAGAGACTTTCTGGCTCTAACCACAGATATAATTATTTTCAGTTTGGAAGCTCTCTAAACTGCATTTCAACAGTTAGTATAGCACCTGTGTCCCAGAAAAGGTCGTGTCCCATAACGTGTCACTGGTTACCCATACTGGAAGCACTATTTCTTAGTATATGTGTTATGTCATTATGTATTGGGAGATTAACTCAAACCTTAACCAGCTTATTAAGTCACTGTGGAAAGAGCATGATTTTGACTCCCAACGGCCTGTGTTCTTACTCAGCACCAGCAACGACATGCTGAGTTCAAGTGAGGTCTGTACACAGCACGCACTGGGACAGATATACAAAGAGGAACAATCATATAATAAATGATTCCAATTTATTTTAATAAGAGCCAACAGAGGCATATATAAAGTTTATAGAAGCACAATATTTTATTGAAAAACCGGATTATCTTTCAGCTCCCAAATTCTATTATAATTTAAGATCCTTTAAGCCTCTTCTTTTTTTGCTAGAAGGGAGTGTTTATAAGTTATTGTTTTCCCATCAAAAGATGCTGAGTAAGCAATTAAAAACTTAGGGTTAAAGTATAGTTAGTATTAAATACCAGTATATGCCAGGGGAATAAGGGCTCTCCATACATTGTCTCACTTAACCTCACAATTACAAGCAGAAATACTATTACCACCATTTTACAGATAAGAAAACAAAATTTCAGAGAGACTAAAAGAACTTACCAAAATTTCACCTAAACAGTAAGAGGAAAACAGGGACTCGAATCCAGATCTTCTGATTCCAAAGCCTATTCTCTTTTCCACTACACTATCTGTCTCTCATTTTCTTTCACTACATAAAAACAAAATTTCCAGAAATCACTTTCTTAAGAGCACACAAGAGAGAATAAGACAGCCATGAAGCACAGAGACAGCACTGGTTGTGAGAAGCACCTTTTAAACTGTAGTATCTGCTGTATACATGCTCCCTAACAAGACACAAAGATTACAAAACTGAAAAAATTATCCAAGATAAAAAATATGTGTAGCATGAATAAACACATCCTGAAAACAAGTTAATAAAAATATTTAGATTTTGTAATTTCTTCCAACTGTTTTTATCTTTACCCTGACTTGTTTCCAACACTAACCAGAGGGAACTGCCCAGCATATTTTAGTGTATTAGCGTGTTGGATTCCACGTGATTATTTAAAAGTACATATTACACAGTATGAGAATACAAGTATATATGAAATGCTAACTTTTTTTAAAAGAAAAAGAATGCAACACAAAAGCCCGCTAATTTTTGAGGGCTTAATATCAACAAAATTTAAACGCTTGTTGAAAAAAAATCTAATGTGTTTATTTTCTGTGTAAACCACTAAATTCACCATTTCTAAAAACTTTTCCAGCCTGTCAATTTTTAATGGCAAATCTGAACCAGCAAACATCTTGTTAAACCTGTTACAACCAATGAAGAAAAACTGAATCCACAGCTAGTTAGAAAAAGAATTTAAATCAACCTAGGTCGCCGGATGCCGGTAACAAGTTTTCCTTCAGAACTCCTTCAGAGCTAGGTCTTAGATTATGTTCTATCCCATTTTCGCGTAGCACAAACTTCAGGATTAAGAAAAATTCTCTTGAAGCAGCCTTCATTGTTTAGTTCAACCAAAGATTTAAACTCCCTCGTTCGCAATTACTTCAAGCAACAAAGATCGTTTCAAACGTCCTCAGGGATTCGTGCGTGTGATCGCGATACACATTCTCCCCCCTTTAACAAAACGAGCCCCGGCTAGGAATCACACAAAAACAAGGTACTAACGACCCGTACTTCACGATTCCTCCGAGATCTTTAGAAGTAACTATCACAGTCCTTTACGAGCCCTCCGAATTCTGCAGAGGTGACATTTTCCTTGCTTTCCACCAGCACAAGGCAGGCGTCGGAACACCGACCCGCACAGCCGCTGGCGTCTAACGCTCCCTCCTCCCTTCATCCCGACTCTCCCCTTCTCAGACCCAAACGCAAACAAGCTCTTCTCTCCACGCTTCTTGCACCACGTCGCTCGCCACAAGGCTCAGCTCAAGCTCCACCGCCTCTCTTCCAGGCCGCATGGGGTTACTCCCGCCGCAGAGCTCCCTCACCACCGCTTCCTCCGCTGTCAGGCCCGCAGCTGCCTCCGCAGGCCCCCGCCGATGGGGAAGGGGCCGTCACGGCCTTGCCAAAGGGCTGTTCTTTCTCGCCCAGCACCGCGGCTTCAGGAGGCTCTTCCAGAGTCAGGGTCCGAGCACCGGTGCCCGGCGGCCCTCCAGGGCGATGAGGTGGAGAGACGCCGCAACCGGGCTGCCAAGCCTCCCTCCCATCCCGGGGGTCCCCCCCAACCTCCTCCCGCCCCCGCCGCCTGCTCGCCGCCATTTTGTGCGCAGCCGCTGCGACACACATACAATAGTCGGCCCGGGTCTCACAGGAAAGGTTCAGGACCCCCACGCTACGGGATCCACCTTCCAGCCCCCGTCTCCCCACGAAGCAGCCGTCCTACCTATGCCTACCCGACTAACAGCCGGATCCCATTTGCGCCCCACAATTTAGCACTCAGCCTCCAGGTCTCGACGCCGAAGAAGCTACCGCCTCCAGAGCCGCACGCATGCGCGCCTACCCAGCCTCGGCGAGTCCCCGTCCGCTGCCAGCGCCTGCGTACCGCCCGCGACGCGCTAGCCCCGGGCACAGGAAACTTGGTTCCAGAAGGGGGCGCGCTCGCGTGTGGCGTTCCCGGCGTCTACAGCAAACCTGGGGCACCAGATAAGTCAGGGCCGCCACCTGTTCTCGTGTCGGTCCTAACCAAATCGTGCGCACATTTAAATACCTCTATTGTTTCACCGCCTCCACGAAGTCTTCCGTGATTATTTATACCTTCAAATAACATTTGAATAGGTAATACTCTGCCGGCAATAGCAGTGCTTTGTACGGTTAAGGTTATGTTTGCCTTTACCCATCGCCTTAAATATATTTTTGGCATCCCTAGAGCAATGATGTGATGAATATCAGTCACTCAAAATATCGGGCAATCAGAATTCAACTAGATTGAGCTAAAAGCAAAACGCTTTGAAAATCCTCTCATGATGGTATTTCACAAATTAAAATACGTATGTGGTATTTAAGCCTTGTTTTACTGATGAAAAAAGTTGAGTGGACAGAGACTGCATAACTTCGTTAAAAAAAAAAAAGGTTTATTTATTTACTTATGTGTACAAGAACTGGGGTACAGGCCAGAGGTGCAGGGCTGAGAGGATTCACCAGAGACAGTAGGGAGAACAGAAGGATTGACTGAAATACACTGCTGAGGAGCAGCGGGCAGGTCAGAAGAAGTCTGCTGAGTAATGTGGGTCACCTCTCTGGCTGGGAATCTAACTCGTGCTGAAGTGGCTTTAGCTTCCTCGCAGGGGATCGAACTTGTGCTGCAATGGCTGCGATGGCTTCATGGTGCTGCACTTTAACCTGTTGCACCATGAGGGAGGGCCAGGCTGAGTAACTTCTTATTACTCTACTATATCAACATAAAACTCAATCTTTGAGTAAAATCTTGTAAAACTTTTCTAGTCCTACTTTATGGATATCACGCAGATGATATACATAGCCTGAGTCTCATACTAGCACTAATCTGCTGCGCCACCAGGGAGGGCCCAAGCAGATGCATTTTTTAAATTCACATTAAAATAAGCATAGAAAAGGCTAGAAAAAAATGAATCTTATGAAATATTCTGCATTCTTATTTCAAGCTAAAAATCCTTCTAGAGGCAACAAGCCAAAAACAAAAACAGCTAGTTGCTCTTCCAAAACTTGAAGTAACCAATGTTTGATGTATTTTCGTTCACATATTTCCTTATATTCTTATAAGTACACACAACATGTTATTTTCATGTAATGGGAAATGTTCTTTATTCCTTTAATCAAAAATTGGCATCTTAGCCGGCAACTTGCTTTTCTGACATTTCTGCGAGTAAACTGTATAAATAGGCTCTTCTTTCAAGAGTTCCATGATATTCATAGTATAACTCTATCATTAATTATTCAACTTTTTAAACACCAAATTTGTTTTCAGGGTTTTTTTTTAAATAAGGTGTATTTACTTATGTATACAGAACTGGGGTACAGGCCAGAGGTGCAGGGGCAGTGAGAGGATTCACCAGAGACAGAGTGGGGAGCAGAACAGGCCGACTGACAAAGTACACTGTTGAGGGGAGCAGTGGGTGGGTCATAAGGGGTCTGCCATGCCATGTGGTCACCTCCGGGGCGGGGATCGAACTCATACTGAA